CTCTGAAGATTTCGTTTGTCCAGTAATTTACAAAATAACCCGGAAATGTGCTTCTCTCTCGATTATCTTGAGTCAAGATACCAGACATGTTCGAAAAAATTTTCAGTTTATTACCAGAATTTGCAAGTAATTTGCCGTTCTGAAATGACTCATTTTTAAAACTTATTGAAAATAAACACGTGCTGCCCCATCTCAAGTAATGGCATTTCCTTTTTGAGTCTTTGCCAAAGCGCAGGACGAAGAAAGGTGGGGATATAAGGGAACCTCACAACGGCCACTACCAACCGACGTGTGGCTCTCCGCATCGGCGATGACGAAATTATCACGGCGTATGATGGGAGGTCATGTGACCCAAGGATAATTAGATGAGACTTTGGACAGCAAAACTGACTCGTGGCTCGCTCTTTGCATGATTCCAAAGATCTCGACGAGGGGAGTCGAACAATATGGAACGTCAACTCGCCGAAGGAGTTCTAACAGCGAGTCCGAAAACATTTTGCATTTCACCTTCTTCCAACATTCTTAAATTTCCAGATTAATGTTCAGCATGGGTATATGCCAGGAGGCTATGCTGTAAGGATGTAAAACTTTGAAATTCCCTCCGTACAATAACGTTTCCCACACGATTTACATACACTGTCACTAATTTATTCATCTCCAAATATGACAGAAACAAGAGGATAGAGAAAAAAAAACATAAAACCTTCAAAACATGAGAAGGTTTTGCGAAAGCATCCGCATCAGGCTTTCTTCAACGTTGATGCATAATTTCTGAGTTGCGTGGCATATTCAGCCATGGTCGGAATCATGGCAACTCGGGATAAAGCCTTCATCAGAGCATTGATTTTCACATCAACGTTCAGCAGGTATTGGAATGTCGCGAAGCCGTCTCCATTCGGTGAAAACCGGAATCCACTCGAATGATATGTGGCCCTGTAGAAAAGTACCAACAGTGAATCCCTTGTACTTACACCTCCAACCCTTGTGTTCCCGCATCGAAAACCGAAATGGAAGATTTACCTCACGTATTCCCCTTCGCGCGGTGCCCCGGGGAACTCAGTCGAGATGAAGCACATGTAGAAATCCTCCACCATCCGCTGCGTGTCCAGCACCCCATGCCGAGAGTACACAGCCACGAAGTCTCTTCTCGAGATGTATTGCGATCCTAGATGTGCTCCGATCACGTGGGCGATCATTTTGGTCTTAGAAATTCTCTGCAACAACAAGGAGTTTACTGCGGACGATGGTACCCCGTGGAATGTCAAGGAAAGGTTTTCATTCTTCAGCAGATGTTTTCTAGAATTTCTTACTTCAATTGACCAGTGTATTTTGACCCTGCGTGCAAGATCTAGATAAAAACTTTTAGTCTAATTGCGTCGTATCCTTACCGAAACATCACTTTGACGTAGGCTTTCCCGTACAATACTGTGTATTAAAAATGTAAAAAAAACTAAATTTTGCTTTTTTGTTGCATTCCATGCAATATTTCCCTACATCATAGTCTTGTCAAAACGTTCTCAGCCCTCAGAGAGGAGGGAGACATTTTCTACGGACATTTAACTGTGTACTAATTAATTTTCTTTAATTATTATGCTCCTATATTTGTTAATATTTCATATGTTATTGTCATCAATGTCCAGAAATGGCGCAACCTTCCGGACTGTATGAAAAATGATCCTTTAGTTTATGCAGTTGGTCAGCGGTGGGAATTTATTTCCATAAAAATACTCACACGTATAACGGTTCAGCCCTATTGCGGGAATACAAATTTACATTGTAAAATAGCTTAAAGATCGTTAATTTTACTCAACAGAACACAAAACCCTCTCTTCCCTTTTCGTTAATCATAGTAATAACGTATTTGCGATATTTTTCAGTGGGAAATTCCAAACCTCAATCTAATCAAAGATTCATTACTTTCTTTCAGTGCGCATCCGTTCATTTTAAGTTAGGTGGGAGCATATTCTGAAAGCCCATGTCTAAATAATCTTTTTGCATAATTCGCTGCAATATTTGCAAACTATTTTTGCTTCAAGAGACAAGGAAAGTGAACACTTCGCCGGGCTTTCCCGTGATTATTCTTGGTTTGAAAGTTGCTCGCTCCGGCAACTCACTTTGATGACTTCCATTGAGGATGCCGCCGTGTTCCAGGTGGGGATTCTTTCGAAATGCCACCAGTACTCTTCGATAAGTTCCTCTGCAGAAGCGTTCACCACCGTCTGCAAGACGATAGAGTGGGGGCGGGGAGAACGACTGCGTGAATTTTCTGGAAAAAACCCGCATCCAATTTCGAATGGCAATGGTATATCGCTTGGAAGCTTCAGGTCTTTTAGGTGAAAACTAGAAACTAGAGAAGTGAATGCCCCTTCGGATATACGAGCATTCATCTACTGGAAGGGATATCCACATAGTTCCAAATCAACCTCCTGCCCACATGGCCGTTCTGCCAATGTGCATGCAGGAATACGTTTTTTAAGCTACCTTCGCCATCTCTTGGCAGGGAAGAAATGTTTTGCTTGAATTGTAGGTGAGTGAAGGCGAAAGTGTGAGCTCTGTCAAACTCTCCGTTTAACTTCAAAGTCACACTCACCAAACCATCCCAATGAGCAAAAATAAATGTACTCTAAGGTGGGCGCCGTTAAGTTTTTGCCCACTTTTAAATCCTTTAAGATTAAATAGAATCACTTTTAAAAAATAGTTCAGTTCAACTCTACTATGGTGACTATTAATTATTGATTAGCGATTTCTTCTCATATTTGAAGTAAATCGTTTTCTCTTCTACACTAGCGCGACGAAGCGCTCGACATTGGAAAGGAATAATCAAGGGCATGCGATTCACCTCCGTCAGGAAGATATAGTTGTTGTANGTATGTGCAATGAGGTAATGAGGAATTCGCTCTTCAACCCCTTTATTTCTAATGCACAAGAGAAGGGAGGGTCCTATGGGATCGCAAATACGTGCCAAATAAAGAATGCCAGGTGATCAGTTGCAAGCTGAGATCATATTTCTCTGATGTCACTCCTATCTTAGTAATTAACAATTCATGTCCTGCAAGCTAGTGCGAGAGCTGGAGTGATTCAAGAAGAAGATGGTGTCATTTCGCATCTCATGACCTGTCTCATTCTCCAGTTCATTTGCACATTCAGAAGTTGCTCTCCTATCTCAATCGAATCCAATCAATCAGGGATATTATCGATATAATTTATCAATGAGGGATAAAGGGAACTCATTTTCAAGTCATTGCCCTTCGCTTCCATGTGAAGGTGAACTTTGAGTTCGGGTAGCATGAGCGGGCTCCTGTGTTGTGCGAGCGTACGGAAGCTCTGATTCGTAATACAGAGCAGCACTAGCAGGGCAAAAAAACGGAGTTGAGGCATAACGATGAGGGAAAAATGGATAAATAAAAAAACAGGGGGCAGGGTCGTAGATCTCAGGCCTCTTCTCTGAGGAGTTTTGGGCAAATCGAATCGATTCAGTCCTCCATCTATGCCTCTTTCGCCTACGCAGCCATCTCCAGCAACCTCATGCTTACATGTATGCTCTCCACCGACAGGTCGATCTCCTCCCCTACGTGAATCAAGGGGAATCCGCCTTTCATGAGGTCAAGAATCTGATGGATAATGGTGTGTGGGATCTCGGACGCGAAGAGGACGGTATCATCATCAAGAGCCTTTACAGTCGGAAATACAACAACTATATCTTCCTGACGGAGGTGAATCGCATGCCCTTGATTATTCCTTTCCAATGTCGAGCGCTTCGTCGCGCTAGTGTAGAAGAGAAAACGATTTACTTCAAATATGAGAAGAAATCGCTAATCAATAATTAATAGTCACCATAGTAGAGTTGAACTGAACTATTTTTTAAAAGTGATTCTATTTAATCTTAAAGGATTTAAAAGTGGGCAAAAACTTAACGGCGCCCACCTTAGAGTACATTTATTTTTGCTCATTGGGATGGTTTGGTGAGTGTGACTTTGAAGTTAAACGGAGAGTTTGACAGAGCTCACACTTTCGCCTTCACTCACCTACAATTCAAGCAAAACATTTCTTCCCTGCCAAGAGATGGCGAAGGTAGCTTAAAAAACGTATTCCTGCATGCACATTGGCAGAACGGCCATGTGGGCAGGAGGTTGATTTGGAACTATGTGGATATCCCTTCCAGTAGATGAATGCTCGTATATCCGAAGGGGCATTCACTTCTCTAGTTTCTAGTTTTCACCTAAAAGACCTGAAGCTTCCAAGCGATATACCATTGCCATTCGAAATTGGATGCGGGTTTTTTCCAGAAAATTCACGCAGTCGTTCTCCCCGCCCCCACTCTATCGTCTTGCAGACGGTGGTGAACGCTTCTGCAGAGGACCTTATCGAAGAGTACTGGTGGCATTTCGAAAGAATCCCCACCTGGAACACGGCGGCATCCTCAATGGAAGTCATCAAAGTGAGTTGCCGGAGCGAGCAACTTTCAAACCAAGAATAATCAAGGGAAAGCCCGGCGAAGTGTTCACTTTCCTTGTCTCCTTGAAGCAAGAAAAGTTTGCAAATATTGCAGCGAATTATGCAAAAAGATTATTACGACATCGGCTTTCAGTATATGCTCCCTCCTAACCTAAAATGAACGGATGCGCACTGAACGAAAGTGTGTTGAGTTAAAAGGTGACTACATTGAAAAAGAAAGTGTTATTTTTCCCCTCGGATGTTTTTTTCTTATTCAGGTAGATAACTTATTGAGTGACCCTCGTATGTGCAATGAGGTAATGAGGAATTCGCTCTTCAACCCCTTTATTTCTAATGCACAAGAGAAGGGAGGGTCCTATGGGATCGCAAATACGTGCCAAATAAAGAATGCCAGGTGATCAGTTGCAAGCTGAGATCATATTTCTCTGATGTCACTCCTATCTTAGTAATTAACAATTCATGTCCTGTAAGCTAGTGCGAGAGCTGGAGTGATTCAAGAAGAAGATGGTGTCATTTCGCATCTCATGACCTGTCTCATTCTCCAGTTCATTTGCACATTCAGAAGTTGCTCTCCTATCTCAATCGAATCCAATCAATCAGGGATATTATCGATATAATTTATCAATGAGGGATAAAGGGAACTCATTTTCAAGTCATTGCCCTTCGCTTCCATGTGAAGGTGAACTTTGAGTTCGGGTAGCATGAGCGGGCTCCTGTGTTGTGCGAGCGTACGGAAGCTCTGATTCGTAATACAGAGCAGCACTAGCAGGGCAAAAAAACGGAGTTGAGGCATAACGATGAGGGAAAAATGGATAAATAAAAAAACAGGGGGCAGGGTCGTAGATCTCAGGCCTCTTCTCTGAGGAGTTTTGGGCGAATCGAATCGATTCAGTCCTCCATCTATGCCTCTTTCGCCTACGCAGCCATCTCCAGCAACCCCATCCTTACATGTATGCTCTCCCCCGACAGGTCGATCTCCTCCCCTACGTGAATCAAGGGGAATCCGCCTTTCACGAGGTCAAGGATCTGATGGATAATGGTGTGTGGGATCTCGAACGCGAAGAGGACGGTATCATCATCAAGAGCCTTTACAGTCGGAAATACAACAACTATATCTTCCTGACGGAGGTGAATCGCATGCCCTTGATTATTCCTTTCCAATGTCGAGCGCTTCGTCGCGCTAGTGTAGAAGAGAAAACGATTTACTTCAAATATGAGAAGAAATCGCTAATCAATAATTAATAGTCACCATAGTAGAGTTGAACTGAACTATTTTTTTTAAAAGTGATTCTATTTAATCTTAAAGGATTTAAAAGTGGGCAAAAACTTAACTGCGCTCACCTTAGAGAACATTTCTTGTTGCTCATTGGGATGGTGGTTTGGTAAGTGTGACTTTGAAGTTAAACGGAGAGTTTGACAGAGCTCACACTTTCGCCTTCACTCGCCTACAATTCAAGCCAAACATATCTTCCCTGCCAAGAGATGGCGAAGGTAGCTTAAAAAACGTATTCCTGCATGCACATTGGCAGAACGGCCATGTGGGCAGGAGGTTGATTTGGAACTACGTGGATATCCCTTCCAGCAGATGGATGCTCGTATATCCGAAGGGGCATCCACTTCTCTCAAAATGCACCAAATAAACAAACGTCGAAACGTCTAATTTTTTTTTTAGTTTTCACCTAAAAGACCTGAAGCTTCCAAGCGATATACCATTGCCATTCGAAATTGGATGCGGGTTTTTTCCAGAAAATTCACGCAGTCGTTCTCCTCTCCCCCCCCCCCCTGTATCGTCTTGCAGACGGTGGTGAACGCTTCTGCAGAGGACCTTATCGAAGAGTACTGGTGGCATTTCGAAAGAATCCCCACCTGGAACACGGCGGCATCCTCAATGGAAGTCATCAAAGTGAGTTGCCGGAGCGAGCAACTTTCAAACCAAGAATAATCAAGGGAAAGCCCGGCGAAGTGTTCACTTTCCTTGTCTCCTTGAAGCAAGAAAAGTTTGCAAATATTGCAGCGAATTATGCAAAAAGATTATTACGACATCGGCTTTCAGTATATGCTCCCTCCTAACCTAAAATGAACGGATGCGCACTGAACGAAAGTAATGAATCTTTGATTAGATTGAGGTTTGGAATTTCCCACTGAAAAATATCGCAAATACGTTATTGCTATAATTAACGAAAAGGGAAGAGAGTGTTTTGTGATCTGCTGAGTAAAATTAACGATCTTTAAGCTATTTTACAAGGTAAATTTGTATTCCCGCAATAGGGCTCAACCGTTATACGTGTGAGTATTTTTATGGAAATAAATTCCCACCGCTGACCAACTGCATAAATCATTTTTCATACAGTCCGGAAGGTTGCGCCATTTCTGTACATTGAGGACAAAAACATATGAAATATTAACAAATATAGTAGCATAATAATTAAAGAAAATTAATTAGTACACAGTTAAATGTCCTTAGAAAATGTCCCCCTCCTCTCTGAGGGCTGAGAACGTTTTGACAAGACTATGATGTAGGGAAATATTGCATGGAATGCAACAAAAAAGCAAAATTTAGTTTTTTTTAATTTTTAATACACAGTATTGTACGGGAAAGCCTACGTCAAAGTGATGTTTCGGTAAGGATACGACGCAATTAGACTAAAAGTTTTTATCTTGATCTTGCACGCAGGGTCAAAATACACTCGTCAATTGAAGTAAGAAATTCTAGAAAACGTCTGCTGAAGAATGAAAACCTTTCCTTGACATTCCACGGGGTACCATCGTCCGCAGTAAACTCCTTGTTGTTGCAGAGAATTTCCAAGACCAAAATGATCGCCCGCGTGATCGGAGCACATCTAGGATCGCAATACATCTCGAGAAGAGACTTCGTGGCTGTGTACTCTCGGCATGGGGTGCTGGACACGCAGCGGATGGTGGAGGATTTCTACATGTGCTTCATCTCGACGGAGTTCCCCGGGGCACCGCCCGAAGGGGAATACGTGAGGTAAATCTTCCATTTCGGTTTCCGATGCGGGAACACAAGGGTTGGAGGTGTAAGTACAAGGGATTCACTGTTGGTACTTTTCTACAGGGCCACATATCATCCGAGTGGATTCCGGTTTTCACCGAATGGAGACGGCTCCGCGACATTCCAATACCTGCTGAACGTTGATGTGAAAATCAACGCTCTGATGAAGGCTTTATCCCGAGTTGCCATGATTCCGACCATGGCTGAATATGCCACGCAACTCAGAAATTATGCATCAACGTTGAAGAAAGCCTGATGCGGATGCTTTCGCAAAACATTTTCAGGTATTGACAATTTTATTTTATTTTTTTTCCTATCCTCTTGTTTCTGTCGAATTTGGAGATGAATAAATTAGTGACAGTGTATGTAAATCGTGTGGGAAACGTTATTGTACGGAGGGAATTTCAAAGTTTTACACCCTTACAGCATAGTCTCCTGGCATATACCCATGCTGAACATTAATCTGGAAATTTAAGAATGTTGGAAGAAGGTGAAATGCAAAATGTTTTCGGACTCGCTGTAAGAACTCCTTCGGCGAGTTGACGTTCCATATTGTTCGACTCCCCTCGTCGAGATCTTTGGAATCATGCAAAGAGCGAGCCACGAGTCAGTTTTGCTGTCCAAAGTCTCATTTAATTATCCTTGGGTCACATGACCTCGCATCATACGCCGTGATAATTTTCGTCATCGTCGATGCGGAGAGCCACACGTCGGTTGGTAGTGGCCGTTGTGAGGTTCCCTTATATCCCCACCTTTCTTCGTCCTGCGCTTTGGCAAAGACTCAAAAAGGAAATGCCATTATTTGAGATGGGGCAGCACGTGTTTATTTTCAATAAGTTTTAAAAATGAGTCATTTCAGAACGGCAAATTACTTGCAAATTCTGGTAATAAACTGAAAATTTTTTCGAACATGTCTGGTATCTTGACTCAAGATAATCGAGAGAGAAGCACATTTCCGGGTTATTTTGTAAATTACTGGACAAACGAAATCTTCAGAGAACCGAGGCTCGCTGCACGGAAGCAGACCAGGGTTCGCTGGTTAAGAGTGGGAACTTCTGTGGGAAAGGCCTAAATTGCACCCTGAAAAGAGATTGATTCCAACGATTGAACAATGCCTCACAATGCTGAGGTTAATACCCGATACTATTTTTGTTTTGTCATGTGAACCGTTTCGGATATGAAAACCTCTTCATTTCGCTTTTAGGAAAGTTATAAGTAAGCAATGGACTTCACTTGAATTTGGCATTGTAAGAAAATGTCAAGATTAAATTGTTTACTGTCCTGTATCCCTCGACCCCAACTCCACCTCCCCCCGTCCCCCCTCCCTACATCACCTCTCCCCCCAACTCCACCTCCCCCCCTTCCCCCCTCCCTACATCACCCCTGCCCCCCTCCCCCCATCCCTCCTCCCCCCCCCCTCCCCTCCCACCTTGTGAAATGAGCCCTGATGGATTTAGATCGGCTTGCTGCTGTCTTGACCTCAGCGATTTCTTTGTCAATCAAGGCCTTGTTCCTTTTTCTATTGCGAGATCAATTCATCACAGGTTAGCTTAGTCATTAAAAAAGTAGTTATGATTGTCCGAGGTGTTAAGGTTTACAAGCATTTAGGCACTCTCTGGTAAATTGCAGATAATTACTTCACTTTCCTTGAAATTCACAACGCGGACATTGAAGTTAGCATGATACTGAACGACGATTAAAAAAAAGTTGTAACGACTTCGACTCTCGAGTCGCCCGCGTTGAAAACCTCCTGAGTTCTCAATACCGTGAGGACCTCGACGAGGCTGAGACGACAGGGGAAAGCGGTCGAGAAAGAGACAGAGAAGGAAAAACCTAGCCGTTGAAGAGGGAAGGGAACGTAAGGAAAAACATTTTTTGTCTGAAATAGTCGAATCACTATGTGACCTCTGTCTAATTTTTATTTCTTGGCAAAGTTTTTCCATGTCATCTTTGTCTCCTCTTTCCTCCTCGGTTTCCTCTCCTTTACAGTGGCCGTTTTGCAAGGGTGTATATACCATATTTTTTAACTAAGTATTTTAACCTATTATCGAAAGGAGCTATTTTCGGATTAACCAGTCCCTTTTCGAATCACGTGTGAAGATAAGCTGACGACAATGCGTTTCAGTTTCTCATTGAGAAACTGAAACGCATTACATCAGAAAGACCTGAAGCCAACATGTGATACAACTTTGCTGTTCAAAACTGGACAGGTCCAGCAAATTAACGCAGTCATTTCCCCCCAACCCCTTCCATCGTCTGGAAGACGGTCGTGAACGCCTCCGCAGCATCCCTCGTCAACGAGTACAGGTGGCATTTCGAGAGAATCACCACCTGGAACACCTAGAGCAAATAAGATGCTCCTCCACTCTACTAAGATTAAAAAGTGACCTGAAAAAACGCTTACTAGCACAATGCATGCCATCACGACCTCATCAACATCAAATCTCTTCACTCTGATTATGCTGCATTCATATTTTTCACTTCCCCCCCCTGCTGGACACACTCCGCAGATTTTTTTCTCACCCATTTATAGATAAATCTTCTCCTGCATTGGGTCGGATTGTTCTCACTTCTCTCTTTACTCTTATCTTGCCATTTCCTTTTCACAATTTTGTATCTTGTCTTACCATGTCTCAATTACATTAAATTGCTAAATAGACTTTGCATAGTACACTATGTACTTCTTGTATGCATCTCTTTCTCTCTTGCTCTCTCTCTCTCCCCCTCTTGCTCTCTCTTGCTTTCTCTTGCTCCTATTGTACTTCTTGTTCATCTTTCCTAATATGTTTGATGCTTCCCCTGTCCATAAAACAACTGATGTAGCAGTTGAGCCTCCGTATAGCCAAATAAAGTGGACAACAAATCATTCATTCATTCATTCATACTGCGGGAAGCGATACTTTATCCAACTATATCTAGTGCGCAACAGCGAAGAGGAACATTACACAAATAACCCTCGCAAGTGATGTTTCATTGTCATCTATATCTTTTCTACTGTTTAACCCTGAATAGGTTAAAAGCTAAAGTCTGATTGGTAAAATCCGATTCCTATGAATACGATAGTGTCACCACTCTCCCCCGTAAGTTTTAGCTAAATCCCTCTAGATTGAACTGAAGTGCATGTCTTAGAATACCCTCAGGCAGTTACACGTTGAAACTTGTCGCCAGTTGTCTGGAAGCGCCAATTGAATTGAGGGCCGTCAGTCGTGATAGTTTCGATTTTGTTTCGTAATGGAAGATTTACAGACTGAGCGACGATGTGTCATACGCTGTTGCGTAGAGGAAATGACGGAAGATTATGGTGACCGGTGTTTGAAGAGAGATGCGATTTTCAAGTGGCACAAGCGTTTCAAGGAAAGACGAAAATCCGTGGCGAGAATGTGTGGAATTAGTGACGACTCGCGGCCTGGTCAGCCGAGGACTTCGACCACTCCAGAGCGAATTGCACGAGCCCAGGAAGTCATGGACGAAGACCGGCGAATCGCAAGTCGTGGACTAAGCAGCAAATTGTCCGTCTCATACGCCAGCGTTCATGCAATTGTGACAGAACACCTGAAAATGGCGAGAATCTGTGCTCGCTGGATTCCATACCATTTGACATCTGGACAAAAACAAGAAAGTGCTGAAGCGCGTGAGGCCTTGCTATCACGGTTTGACCGAGAAGGTGAAACATTTCTCAGTCGCATCGCGACCGGTGAAGAGACATGGATTTACCATTATGATCCAGAAACAAAGCCTTCAACCAGGTTCAACCAGGGTCGAAGAAAGAGCTGAAGGGCCAGAGTTTTCGTCCGGACGAGGAAGCTCAAATTGCCTCAACCACGACACTACGAGGTATATCGAAAAATGGCTTGCAAAAGGCTTTCGACGGTTGGGTAAAGAGATGACGCAAATGTGTACAGTTTCAGGGAGAGAAGGAAAAAGAAGCCGCGGACCACGAAGACGACAATTAAATGTACGATAGCTTCAGTCTGCGAATTAAATGATCAGCCCTCGTAATTATGTCCTATGCAATGAATATGCGGCCATTTTTATGCTGCAATTTTATCCCCAAAGGGAAAGGCTAAGGACGCAACTTCGGCGCTCTATGATCAAAATATATATAATAATGCATTTAAAGCACCCGTTTCCGAAGCTCACGCCCAATGGCGCTGTCAAACTCCTTGGTCAATGGGTTTGGAAATTTAGCGCTTTTGGTGCTTGCACCTTAAAAATGAAGTTGCTTCAGAAAATATTCATTGTGACATCATGTGACTTCCAGCGTCAGATCAACAGGTAAAAATTCAGTTTGTCGGTTGGTGTTCCTGAATTGAATTTAATTCCTACCTTTGGTCCTCCCACTCTTTTTTCTATATAAATAACCACAAACATAAGATCAACGACACGTAAGCTCATTACTTCAGCGTTTTAACGCAAGAATTTTTTGTCGGCAATGGGGAGTTTAGTCGTTATACTAGCTATGGTGGCGCCTTCAGCGCTCCATTACCGTGGATTGTGAATAATTCATTTATTCTTTGCGAAATGGCAAACACCGATTTAAAGGGCGTCCCCATTGAAATACATGACATATGGTGGCAAAAGTCTTCCTTTTTATCAAAAACGTTACTTCTATTATTTCTAGTGTGCCTAACTTGAAATCCTTTCTTGTGTCCCTTTTTGTAAGGGTGGAGAATGCATTTTGAAATACATCCCTCCTATAATCTACGCTAATGGGACACATTTCAAAAGTAGGATTATTCCTGTACTCCGCTATGAAATAGGCACTTCTGAGGGAAGTTTAAATTTTCTGTCTCTGTTTCGTTCGATAAAAAAAAAGTAAGGAAAATTTTACTTTAAAAAAGTGCCCTGATGGGTTTGAACGAAAATTTTTTATTATTCTGAAATGTAGACTCAGGGAACTCCATGCCACCCAGTTTCGGCCTCGGTTTTCGGGTTAATAAATATAACCCCCCCAAAATCCAATATTTTGCAAAATTGACATTTTTCCTGAGCTCAGTGCTTCAGCAGTCACGCTTCAGTTTTCCATATGTCTCCGTTTGATTGACGCAAAGAGAACTATTTGAAAATATATTCCCGAAAAAGGTGTGCCCCTACGGCATGTATCACCAATGTAGAATATTTCCACAACTAAGCATGCGGCTTATGTCAGTCAGCTACTCACGATCCTCTATATATAATAAAATTATACTTTTTTTCTTTATTCAGCTATCCATCAGGTTCTTCTTTGCAAAGTTTAGACTTTCTAGCGCACTCTGTTTTGCTGGATCTAGAAAATACGCATTTTGAAATATAGGTGCCCTCAGGCGTTTAACCCGAAAAGTACTTTTTTTTTTACCTCAGAGAACTACATGCCCA